TATATATATATATATGAGTTAATTACCTATACACTAACTGACAACCAATTATATCTTTTAGTTGTGTTATGTTAATGTTAAAAGTAAATGTGTTTACAGTGACATGACACAATTAAAAGATATAATTGGTTGCCAGTGTAAAAAAAATTTACATTAGCAGTGTATAGGTGATTAACTTCTCTCTCTCTCTATATATATATATATATTTAAGATACATATTTAAGTAACTCAATTTAAGAATATATATTCATTAAATATTGTTAAAAATATAAAACTATTAATATTTTTTTGCAAGATTAATTTTTACGTGCGTGATAATAACTAAATCAGTACTAATCAATTATAATTTTTTTTACGTAACGATACATATATTTTTATTAATATTAGACGATAAAAATTATGCAATACAGATTAAAAAATACATATTAAAATAAGAAATATCCTATGCAATTCAAATTAATATTATACAATAAGTGCAATGGTGATTTGGCAGTGGACATTGCGAAAGGATTAGAATGAACTATTAGATGGACATTATTAGAATGATATTAGAACATATTTCAACATTAGGCGGAGGAAAAATATAAGAAAATTAACATTGATATTATCATTTGGGTGCATTGCACAAAAAGCCAAAGAAAATAGTAAAGTAAAAAAGAGGAATAAAAGACACAATTGCGTTATCTTTTACATACCTGAAATAAAAAGATTCAGATCTCTGTATGAATATATGCAATGCCCATAATCCAATGAGGAAATGGGAGAAGGTAAATTTATTTCTCATATGCACAATTTCTTGAGTGTGAATTACTGATTTATATAAATTTGGACAAGGAAGTCAAACGTATGATTATCTTGTTGTATCCGAGCTAGATCTATGTAGTGCATATCATATCTTATTTGTATCGAAAATTTTGATTCTTTTTACGAATTTAATATGCCTATATAAATACATACTGAAATTGGCGTATCCGTGCATGATATTATTGATAATAACATCTACACAAGAATAATATTCAAAAAGGAAATTGCAAAAGACAAGTTGACACAGACAAAAACATAAATAACATTCATTTCAAAGTCTTGGAAATGAAAAAAACAATTGAAAGTTGAAATATCATTAAACGTGGTCAAGTAGATTCAAAGTTTGTAAATATTTCATAATGATATCATATTTATATATATAAAAAAAATTATAGAGACTTACTTTTGATAAGTAATGAATAAAGGAAGAGTTATGGAGAAACATCCACAACACAGAAAACCAAACAAGCAGAATGGTGAGTTGCATGACCGTTCTGACCGGAAGGTGGCCAGCGTAGTTGCCGGTAGAGGAGTCCTTCATTGTTTCAAGAGCTGAATTCGTAACTTTGGCTTCTTCTGAGAACAACACTATTACTTTACTTCTTAACAACAATATATATATATACAAGTGAAAAGTAATGTTATTATAATAACATAAAATAAGTAAATAAAATAGTCAAACAAAACTTAATACTTTTCACTTATTTTATGTTATTATAATAACATTACTTTTCACTTACCTTATCAACTGCAATGGCTTAATAATGATGGGGATATGGTGGTTAACCAACAAGGGGAAGTAGAGTTTTCCAATGGGAACTATCAAGATAAAGTTAAATGTGATGTAGTTCCCATGGAGGCTTGTCATATTTTGTTGGGTAGGCCATGGCAATTTGATAAGCAAACACATCATGATGGCCTAACTAATAAAATAACTTTCACTCATAAGGGTAAGAAATTTGTGCTTCATCCTTTATCACCTTCACAAGTGGTAGAAGATCAAGCACAAATGAAGACCAAACGTGAGCAAGAAAAAGGAAAGGAAAATAAAAAAAAGAGAAAAAAAACTTCTAAAAATTAGGAATCAAGAGGATTCTAGAGAGCCTAGTGTTCCCTCTCTAGAGATAGTTTAAGAAGAGAAACTTGAAACAAAAACTTTACAAACATCTCTCTTACTTGAACCATCTTCTTATATCCTCATGTGTAGAAGAACACTCACATGCACTGCCACAAATTCTTTGGAAACTTATCTACCTCTTGAGATTAAAAATATTTTAATTAAATTTGATGATGTATTTCCTAGTGAAGGCCCTATGAGACTTCCACCTTTTAGGGGAATAGAGCATCAAATAGATCTTGTACCTGGGGCTAGTTTACCCAATAGACCATCCTATATGACAAATCCTCAAGAAACAAAAGAGATAGAGAAGCAAGTACAAGATTTGTTGGATATAAGGGTTGGATTCAATAGAGTCTAAGCCCTTATGCTGTGCCTGTTTTATTGGTGCCAAAAAAAGATGGAAAATGGAGGATGTGTTGTGACTGTAGGGCCATCAACAACATCACCATAAAATATAGGCACCCAATTCCTAGGCTTGATGACATGCTTGATGAATTGCATGGGTCATCCATATTTTCCAAAATAGATCTTAAAAGTGGATATTACCAAATTCGAATAAAGGAAGGTGATGAGTGGAAAACTGCTTTTAAGACTAAGTTTGGATTATATGAATAGTTAGTAATGCCATTTGGGCTTACTAATGCACCTAGTACATTCATGAGGCTAATGAATCATGCCCTTAGGGATTGCATTGGTAGATTTGTAGTTGTTTATTTTGATGACATCTTAATCTATAACCAAAGTCTACGTGATCATGTGGATCACCTAAGACAAGTCTTACTTGTTCTTAGAGACAATCACTTGTTTGCCAATGTAGACAAGTGCACTTTTTGTGTGGATAATGTTATATTTTTAGGATTTGTGGTGAGTAAAAAAGGGGTTCATGTGGACCCCGAGAAAATCAAATCCATTCAAGAATGGCCTATTCCTACTAATGTGAGTGAAGTTAGGAGCTTCCATGGATTGGAAAGTTTTTATAGATGTTTTGTTCCTAACTTCTCTACATTAGCTTCACCTCTCAATGAGTTAGTGAAGAAGGATGTGGTTTTTCTTTGGCAAGAAAAACATAACTTAGCATTTCAAGAACTTAAGCAAAAACTCACTCAAGCACCTGTTCTAGCTCTCCCTGATTTTAGAAAAACCTTTGAGCTAGAATGTGATACTTCAGGTCTTGGCATAGGAGCTGTGTTGTTACAAGGTGGCCATCCCATAGCCTATTTCAATGAAAAACTTCATGGGG